CCAGATTAGTATAGGCCTCAAAAAATGGCTGTGAAACATCCAAGAAGGCTAGTTCTACCAATATAGTACTTTTCATTACCAATGTGCCATGTAGATAAAACTTGGGCAAAGAACAAACTTTCTTTGATAAACCTTGGCACGTATTTTGATCTTTGAACTATTTGTATGTATAATTTGTCAGTACGTTGTTGAACTAATATGGTTCCCTCTGTTTTTTTTTTTTTTTTAAACTAGCTAGGCATTATTTGTCTCTCTCACTGTCTAACCCTTTCACTATGGTTTCCCCATTTAAAATGGCCCCTTTTCCCCATTTCTCCCTTAGTAATACGCTTCTCCTATGGTCCCACCTCTCTTGAGCTCTTTCCATTTATCCCCAAGGTTCCTTGTATAACCCTCCCTCCCCCTCCATTTAAAATAACCCCATTTTTATCCATATCTCCCTTAGTAACACCTGTTTCTTACTGTTCTCTCAGGTTCCTTCTTTTCCTTTACCTCCCTGGTTCCTTTCATTATCCTGGTTCCTGTAGTTATGTCCGGATTCATACTCACTTATAAGGATTTGGTGCTAGGATCCACATATGAGGGAGAACATACGTCTTTTTTTGTTTTGTTTTGTTTTTTGTTTTTTTCTGAGTCTGTTACTTAGTGTAACAGTTTCTAGTTCCATCCATTTACCTGGATGATTTCATCTTTCTTTACTGCTGAGTAGAACTCCATCATATAAGTGAACCACATTTTGATTATCCACTTGACAGTTGAGGGACACTTAGGTTGCTTCCATCTCTTAGCTATTTTGAAAAGAGCAACAACAAACATGGATATACAAGTGTCTCTGCAATAGGATGAGTTCTTTGAGTATATGCCATGGAGTGGTATAACTGGGTCAAATGGTAGGTTCATTTTCAGTTTTTTAAGGGTTCTCCACACTGCTTTCCATAGGGGTTGAACATTGAGGATGAAATAAATAATAAAAAATTTTTTAAAATGTGTTGTACTATCAGCCTGTGTCAGTAACAAGTATATTTTCTCAGTTTTTCCCTTGACTTCTTATTTTGTCATAGGCTTCTATCTCTAATGGAATAATTACTCCTCCCAAAATTTTTTGTGAATTTCATTATCTCCAATTTTGCAGTTTCCCCTTTTCCCAATGTAGAAAGAATTCACTTTTTTCCCCCCTTTAAGAACTGGTTTGTTTTATTATTGACAATTACACCTTCCATGCGTTTGGAAGTTTTTCTTCTTCAATTGAGATATAGGTCCAATACTCTTTTTTTTCTATGTGGCTATGCATTTATACATATGTAAGTTATTAAACACATTCATGTTTTGCCTGGTTATTCTCATAATCTGGGCTCTTGGAAAATAGTATGTCCTTAAATGCTTGATGAATTATTGAAAGCAGTGTCTTCAATATTTTATGATTCATCCATTTAAGATTTTGACTGTCATCCTTTAGTTCCAAAAGGTAAAAATATTTGATGCTTGATTAAACTACAGTAATATGTGATAGTTATAAAAGATAGAGTATAAGTTTATGATGCTCATTGGCTTGAAGTGAAAAAAATAGCAATAATAAAATAGCCATTTTTAGTTTTCCCCAAATCATGATTCATGCTGTAGTTGAAGAATATGAACCAGCACTATTTAGAAAAGTTTTTGTATCCTATTAATTTGTTTATTGGAAGGAGAGCCTAATAAGACTATATTTTCTCTATTTTTAAAATTTACCATTTGTCCTTTTTTCTTTTTGAGAAGAGCCTTGCTTTTTTGCCTTGGCTGATATGGAACTGCTGGGCTCTAGTGATTGTCCTGCATCAGCTTCCAGAGTAGCTAAGACTATAGGTGGGCCTCACCATGCCCAGCTTGCCTTTAAGGTTCTATATATGATAGAAATCATTTTGCTTATGTATAAATTACTATTCTGTTCATCTTTTTAAGTTTCTCTTTCTGACTCTACTCTACTCATGAATTAGTCATTCCAACCCTTGTCTTAAAAAGCTTAACATCAGTAAGTGCTTGATTGCTATCAATACTGTATTTTATATCACTTGGGACCTGTTTTTTGTAATAGAATTATGTAATAGTGTGGGGACATAACTCAGTTCCTAAACATTAAATCCCAATTATTAGCCACTTTTTCTATTGAATCAGAGATATTGAATCATCTGTTAAATTCTAATTTTTCGTGAAATGAAGTTAATATAAATATCGGGCTGTCTTTCACTTGTAATTATTTTTCCTTGATGTGCATGTGCCAGAACACATCACTTTTGTTAGACTCTGTTACTTTATCATAGAGTCGTCTTCTGCCTTACAGTATTATCTCAGCTGCTCAAGTCTTTTTAACTTATAAGAATTTTGTGATCTCCTTCTGCATACACTGAAAACTTTGAAAAGTTCATTTAAAATTGGGTTGGTTGTGGCTGAAGATGCAGTTCAGTGGTCGACGTTTTTAGTTTTATTACTTTTTCTTTCTTTTACATTTTTAAATTTTATGTGTGTTAGTATTTTGTCTTCTGGAGACCAGAAGAGGAGATGGAACTGAAAATATAGGTAGTTGTGAGCTGCCTGTGGGTTATGGGAACTGACTTCTGAAAGAGCAACAAGTGCTCTTAACTCCTGAGCCATCTCTGTAGCCCCTAATAAATGCTTTTAAAGAACTTTTAAAGAAGTGTGTTCAGGTTGTTACTAAATTTTCTCAAACCTTCAATAATATTGGAACATTGTCATTGCCATCAGTATGTCATATATTGCTTACATTTTAATATTTTAATTATGACAGTGAAGCAAACAATCCACAGTAGTTTTATTCTTTAAATGGTTGATTAAAATTTTTTTTGTAAAATCATTTAAGACTTGAAACATTGTTATAGCTTCCTGTTTAATATTTTCATAATGCTGTTAATCTCTTTAGTTATATCATTGAGGGTATTGTTTGAGGTGAGATTCAGATGTTGAATTTGTGGCATTCAGCTTGAATTTAAACTTATTTGCTTATGAAGCACACTGTGGCATTTGGATGCTATTGTTCCATTTGTACTTTAACCTTTTGCTATGGTAAAGGGAGAGGAAGTAATTTTCCAGACCTAGAAATGGTTTTCCTTCCCCTGGCAAATTGTATGAGAGCTCTAAGATCCATAGTTACGCTTGAAGGGGGCGCGGGTGTGTGTGTGTGTGTGTGTATAAGTAATGTGCAATGACAGGTTCTTACTGAATCTCAGAATGTCTCATATTAATACATGATAAACATCTGTAATACATAGATATTCTTTGGAGTATTTTAGGAATGTATGTAAATAGTTCTTTAAGTCTGTGTTATTAAAGTTTCTAGTTAAGCACCTAAAAGAGAGGGTGGAAGGGATTTAACCTCAATCAGCTGGATTAACTGACCCTGCTACAAAGTAGTAACTAATAAGCAGTGTAGTAGGTAAATAAATGCAATGCCACATTTATCTGATAAAAACTAGGAGTTCTTAAAGCACCTTTTAAAATTTTAAAAAAGACCCCCCAAACTTTTTTTTCCTAAGTGTCTCTTGTCTACTATTTACAAATGTACCTTAGGGACTAAACCAGAAGCACATGTGCTTTTCAAAGATTTCTAGTTCCCATTCATCACAGCTGAAAAGGGGAGAGAAAAAAACAGCTTGAGGATCACATATCCTCTCCTTACCTTTCTCTGCTTATACCTAACATCTGGTGCCATACACTAGTGAGAGAAAGTACCCATGAAGGCCACAGTCCCTGGCAAAGAAAATAAGAGGGGAATGGAGAATAGTGAAACAAGCCGTTTTTGCTTGGTTTTGTAGACCTTTTAGCAGCTGTCCTATGAAATATGTAACAGAGCAATATAATGGTTTAAGAGCGTGATCTCAGAAACAGAACCTTTTAGTAGCTCTGAATTTTCTCTGTTTAACCTTGTGCATGACTCTCATCTGTCCTCGTTATGAGGATTATATGAAGTAGTACTTTAATACAGTGCCAAGTACACTGCTTGCACAATCATCAAACATATTCCATTGTTATTGGTATTATTTTTGTAGATATTTTTCTGAAACTATTAATAAAGTTCCAGTTGAGAATATATGTAATTATGCTATATATATAAGTTAGAGGAAATCTGATTTATTTAGTTGCTATAGAATTTTATTAGCTTTAATCTTATGCCAAAGAATCTAATAAGTACTGATTTTTCTGTTTTTTTGTTTTAAGACAGGGTCTCACTATGTAGCCCTGGCCTGGCACTCATTATGAAGATCAGGCTGGTCTTCAACTCACAAAAGATCCACGTGCCTTTGCCTCCTTAGTGCTAGGATTAAAGAAATATGCCACCATGCCTGGCCCCTGAGGTTTTCTGTATTTTTGTTTTGAAATGTGTATTAACGCTTTAAGCATAAATGCTACATAGTTGACCCTGTAATCTACTTTATGACCAAGTAGTAGTCATTTAAAATAGTATTTCCATATATACAAAAATGATAAGTTACTAAGATGAAGAAGACACAATTAACAACTGGTGAGATATTTAAATACCAGCTTATTTGATCTGGCTTTAGAAGTTAGCATTTATATTGTTGAAACTGCAATGTGGAAATAATATTTTATTTTTAGTAAGGTTTATTTTTATTTATTTATTTTTAGTCAGGATCTTACTGTTTAACCCAGGCTGACTTGAATTCTCATTCCTCCTGCCTCAGTCTCCTGGTTGCTGAGGCTGTATAGGTATATGCTACTTACAAGGCAAGGTAAAAATTTTGGCATTACTAAACTGGTCTAGTCCCCTCTGGATATTCAGAATATCCTGATTATCATTTTTTCAAGACAATCATGAGGAATATAGAAATGATTTTAAATCAGTACCTGAGAATAAACCCTTAAGTATTTGTTGAGAATTGTTTTGCACAAGTCAGTTTCTAAAACCTGACAGTCCTACACTATTATAATTTGTAAATAGCATTTGAGTTCTGGTTTTGTTTGCAAACTTATGCGTGTTGCTCACAAACTCACATGCTCCTTTTTTCAAGCTTCTGAAGTATAAATCAGAAAGAATTACCCTACACTGACAGATTTTTCTCGTTCTTCATCACTGATCTGATTTGGTGTTATTCTCTTATGTATGTTTTTTAATTTTATGATGCTGGTCATTCTACAACCACTTAGAGTAAACTAAGTGAACAATAATCATTAACCAAGAGCTGGTGAATGTTTCATAGCTGATTTTTTCAGAATTACGTGATATAGAGTAGAAGAGTTAGGCTACTGATTTGAAAATGGGAGATAAATTGAATATAACTAGAACTCAACATAATAAATAACAACTTAAACTTTTTTGTGTTTTTGGTGGCTTATCCCTTTGTAATAGAATCAGAGATATAAATTATTAGAATTATGGTAGGAAGCATTCTAACTTCAGATTGATAAATTTACATTTTTAAAGTTAGTAGGCTTGTATTTTTTAAATTATTTTTATTTTATGTGTATGAGTGTTTTGCCTGTATGTATGTAGTGTACTTGGGTCTACATTGCCTTTGGAGACCTGATTAGATCCCTGGAACTGGAGTTATGGACGGTTGTTAGCCACCGTGTGGATGCTGGGAACTCAACCTGGGTCCTCTGTAAGAGCAGTAAATTCTCTTAACTGCTGAGCCATCTTTCCAGCCCCAGGCTTGTATTTCTTGATTTTAAAGTTCATGTTTGGAACAATAAAATTAGGAAGATATTTGTGTAACATTCAGTGAATGGTTTTTGTTGTTGGCCTTTTTTTATTATTAATACCTTGATAAAAGTGCATTGATTATATTGTGCATCTTAAAATCAAATGTCAAACATTTGTAGCTTTCTCCCCATCTCTACCTAAAGGTTTTTAATTGGTGATGCAGAATATTTTTCATCAACCAAATTAAAAACTGTAGGTTTATAAACGTGGCGTTCAGAGAATGAATTAAGTACCATAACATGATTAAGTGTTGGCTTGTGTACACCTGCTGTCAGGAAATAGACTTTTCCCATCTGTTACTGCTTGGAAGACCTGTTACCTGTATTCCTTTTCTTTTTCTTTCTTTTTTTCCCCCCAACAGAACATAATTTTTGTGCCTTGAAAGTAATTACTTTTAATTCATTTAGAGGAACATGATTCAATTTAGAGGTGTACTTGAAGTCGGGCATAATGAAGTTAAATGCTTGCACTCCTTTAAGAGTGAAATACTTCATCTTATTGTAAAATCTGTTGAAGTACTAGCTTTTCCTTAATACCAATGAGGAAACAATGTATCTATTTTGAAACCTTTAATAATTCTTTTATAAAATCTTGAGCCTGAGACACATCAATTTTTCACATTTATCACATCATGTCAAAATAATTTCTCCAGTATATATGAGTATTGATAAAAGAAATTCAAATGATTATCCCAGTTATTTTTTAAAGTACGTAGATGAGAATTGCATTGATGAAACATCTGAATGCTGTGAATGAATTTATATAATAACTAAATCTTACTGCATGTAGTAGAAATTTTTAGGACTCTAGAGTCAGGTCGGAAAATTTGTTTTTTGCATAATTACAAAGTTCCCTTAAAATTGATAGTACTGTCTTATTTCCATTTAATTATGTAGTGAAATGAAAAGCAAATCTAAAATAGTCTTTTGACTGTCTTCATTTTTTAAAATTTATGTGAAAAATGTATGCAAATACATTTTGTTGGCCCCTAACATAAGATTTGAATCATTTATGTATGCATGCTTATTATTGCATGTTAGTACAGAGAATCCCTTTATACAGTTATTTAAATAGATTCTTTTGGAATACCTTTTTGCCATAATGTTTTAGCTTATGAATTAGCTTCTTCAGAAATTAAAAAAATAGTTTTTTGAATTCCTTTATGTGATGAGTCTTAACTAAAACTTGCCCTATGTATGTAGTCAGTTTTTTTAAACTATACATGCTTTAAGCAATATTTACAGATTTCACACTTGAACAAAAATAGTTTTTTTTTTAGTGTAGTTTGCGGTGACGATACCTGCCTGCTTTTTCCTTTGCTGCATTGGCACAGGCATTGTGCTTATTTTGTTGTAAATGGTTCCAGTATTTTATCAGTTCACTAGGCTGGAACTGATGAGAGGTAATTAGGTGGCTGTATTTACAGCTTGAATAAGAAACTCGCCAGTGATTGAACACAAACTCATTGGGAGGGGGCACAGGATCAATTCTCAACTTGGCAAGACAGATCCCTACATACACATCCTCCAAGTGCAAACGACGAATACCTAAAGAAACTTTAAATATCTTTTCTGCCAGATCTCCAGAAAAAACATAACCAGTTCCAGAACAGAAGACAGGGTAGCGCTCACTTGGGTAGAGGTCTGGTGGCATGTACCACTTGCTGTCTTTGTTTCGATTAGGTGCATATCCTCTCATTAGATAGCCAGTAAAATAGTTATGTCTAGGAGGCAGGTCTGGCTTCAGTAACTTATGTATCAAATACTCAGTGTTGACAAACATGTCACTGTCAGTTTTCATAACATATGGAATATGTGGACAGTATGTTGCAACCCAGTTCATTCCCATTAGTGTTTTAATGGTCAGATTATAGTATGTATCTAAGTATTCCTGTTGAATTATATCATGATATTGTCTGCTTTCTTCTAGAATTGCACGTTGAAGATAGCCATTTAGTTTAATACTTATGCCCAACAGAAAAATACGTGTGATTTGGATGCCAGGTGCTAGACTCTCGTTGCCCCAAGTTTGCCGGATAGCTCTCCTTGCTTCTATTTGTCCAGGTTCTGCAGCTATTAGTAGTATTAAAAAAGGACTTTTCTCTTGGCATTTTTCAGGCTCATTGATAATATATTTGAAATGGTAAGAGTTTGGGTGTCCAGTACCCTTTTCATTGTAAATACTTCCATTGGCACTGAGTGTATTCTCTAGTCCTGTAACTCCTTGTGGTGATAAATCTGTGTTATTGGAATTAGTTGCTGTTTGAGGCCTTAAAGTCTGAGGAACCGTTTCTTTCCAAATGTTCCGAAGTGAGCTGTGATTTGTCTCACTTTTTGTAGAACGAAATCCTCGGAAAGTATATGTCACAGGGTTTTCTTTAAATCCAGGTCTACCTGGTAGCCAGTCATGATGATTGAAAAACAAAAACACAGCAAAAAGAAGCACTAGAGAAAGTACACCAATAAGATGAGTCCTGAACAGAGACCTCTTAGCATTCCAGGTCATCTTTGCAAAGCAGCAGTGTCTTCTCCTCCACTGAAGCATGTTGTAAATATCCAGTAATAGTGTAAGTGATGTTGGTGGCTAAAATACCGATATCTTCTCCTGAATCAATGCTGTTCTTTGGTTGTCATTCTCTAATTCAGTCACGTTGTGTCCCTCGAAGTCATTCTGTAAAGATGAAGCATCATGGTTTACAAAATGCTAAATCTTATGGAAAAAGGATTCTGGATGCTAATAAAAGGACTTTTAAAGCTATGAAATATAGGATAGCATAGAAAGAAAGCATATAATTTGTTTCCTTTTGCAAACATAGTCACTGAAAACAAGATTAATTTCTTCAAAAATATTTTTGCAGCACAACGAACACTTTAAAGATTAAGTGACAGATTAATTTTGTTGTACTTACTTGATTATCTCAGTAGCTCTGGTCATCTATTCTTTTATCTAAAGTAAAATGAATGTAGAAGGGAAAAGTGTTACTAGATTTCTGAGCAGAGCTCCGTAAGAAGGCCTTCAGAGCAGATGGAAATTTTATTGACATTAATTAAAATTGATTTGACATACCATTGGTGGTATGGTGCACAGTCAGGGGCCTCTTTTGTAAAATGGTCATGTATTGGTTGTGGGACAGACAGTGCAGGGCTTATTATGGCAGAGTTCAGTTAGTCACAGTACACTACTTGGCATGTTTCCATTGCAACCTACTGTGTTGAGAAAGTCAACGAGAAGATAACACCTGTCAAAATTAGTTTTCAGGGTCCAGTAACTTCAGTGTGAGATTTTTAGACAGTAATAAATGATTGACATTTTCAAATGCTCTCCTGGTTTTAACCTTCCACCTTAAATAGGAAGTATTCAGATCAGTCTTTCTTTAATTACCTATGGCTTTGGCACAAAACTATGACATCTATTTTGACGTTTTTCCAGGCTCCCTATAAAATATAGGCAGTAGCCACTACCATATTTAATTGTTTTGAATCTCAAGTTCCACAAAATACACTTAAAAATACTCTTTAATTATGCTTTGTTGCATTATTTGCAGGCATGAAAGTTATTAGATATCAAAGAAGATTCATGGTGTCACATACTCAAAATTGGTTGTTTTGAAAAAGGGTTTATTTCATGGCACAAATTTATTCATGTTATTAGTTTTTTCTTTTCCCTTAAGATGATTCTGGACCAAAAAGTCAGGGTCATAGAAGTGGTTTGTATCCCAGTAAAAGAAAGGGAACAACCTTTTGGTGAAGGGAGAGTAATAAATTCATAGCTTTGATTCCTTCCCCAAGTTTTTATTTTATTTTATTTTATTTTTTTACCAAATCCAAAAAGTAGAAGTTATTTAGTCATTAATTTTGAGACTGGCATTGTTAAAAATTGCTGTTCTAAAGAAATGATTTTTCACTTATTACTGGAAATAATTTCCTTAAATAAAAGAAATATAAATAACATTTTAATATAGGACTACTTATTTCAAATTATGATTGTAAATATATTTGGTTTCTTGCTCAATGATACTAGCAACTCACAGTTGATAGCATATTGGTTTAATCTTGACATAAAATACTTTTTAGGAAGTATTAGCATTTACATGTAAATCCTCATAAAATTGAGTAATTGTAAATTCACACACATAATGCTAGCCTAGGTACTTTGGAAATACTGATTGAACTTGTAAGATGGGTATGAATGAGATTACTATTCTAGTAGTGGCCACTAGGAGGAGCAAGTAGGTGGGAATTTGAATGTGTTTCTAACATGTTACAGAGCAAGTACTATGGTTTGGTAATTTCAAGTTTCTGGAATTGCATAGTGCTTTTAGTTATTAGACTATTTCTTAAAGGTAAAAATGTACTTAATCATTTTGTTATATGTGAACAGTGACTTAAAAATTACTTTGACTTACATGAATTTAAATCTTATACTAGTCTAATAAATAAACAGCACAGCTATTTACTATATCAATGAAACATAGTTCTCCCGTAATGAAAATTGGAAAATTCAGAACTGCACATTGTGGTTTAGAAATTCTTTTTTTTTTTCTGCCTGTACTTAAAAGTAACTGGCCATTCTGTTTAAATCAGAAAACTTTTTAAGCCTTTATTGAAAAGTGTTGTATTTGGTAGATACTAATGATCCCACCACTACTTTATAATGAGACTAGTGGATATAAAAGAGCTATGTGTATAAATTTAAGAAAGGTTAAAGTTACTTTTAAAAGTTTATTTGACCTATTTCAAGTATTCTAAACATAAATGTATAAGCTTTCTGTTAATATAATAATGCTTAGAAAATGGCTGAGATCCAATCATTCAGATATTTTAGAAGTTAAACTTATAGTTTAACTTACATTGTTTACATGAAATAATATACCTTAAGTGATGTTCCAAAAGTGCATTCATGTTACTGAAAACAGCTAGTTATTTATATTGTAATCTAGCATACATTCATAATTTTGGTGCTAATATAATTTTGTAAGTTGGATATATCTTAATTTAAATTTAATGATAGTTGTATGTTTGTAGCTATTAATATAGGAAGACTTGAAGTTCCTAAACAAATATACCTATTTGATAATCTCCCACTGAGAAATTAAAATACCTGTCCTTAAAATTGTCTTTGCTAAAGTTTGTCAGGTATTATAATTTTTTTTTTTGTTAAAAAAGTAAAATTGATGTAAGTATATCTCCTTTTGTTAAATGGTATAAAATTATTCTCTGGTTAATGCTTCCTGTATTTTAATTCTTGAAATATGGGAACAAGAGAGTTAAATATTTTGGCATGCACTTTTATATTTTTAGAAGTAGCCTTGATTTATCTCCATATTATTGATTATGATATTTCAGTGTGTTTTTATATCTTTTGGATTGAAATTTATAAGGATTATGTTACTACAAAATGTGGTTTGTCTCCCCACAGTTCTGTCATTTGTCTTTTAAAAGCATTGATACACACACACACACACACACACACACACACACACACACGTTAATTTATTGAAACTGTCCTAGATTTAAGTGGTCCTTTGATAGAAAAACTTGTATACTTTTGTTTTGAGATGTCTAGCTTATAAAACTTCTTAATTTGTGGTAAAGGTGTAAAGAGGGGCTGGATTTTGAAGACAAGTTTTGTTTAATAGTATCTGGTATTAATTTTTATTAGTATAAAAATACATAGTTATGACTGAAAATTGATGTTGATATATACAGTCTGATTTACTTGTTTAATTTTAGTTTTAGAATATAGTGCTTACATATATCTTAAAATGTTTATTTTTGTGATTATTAATAATAGGCTAGCAAGTTGAATGAAAGTAAGAGGAAAAATCAAGATCTATATAGGTTTATAAGATTTTAAGAATATCTAAGTTCTTGAGCTCTGAATTGCTATTTAAACAATGATTGTTCCTAAAATAGTTTATCTCTGTTCTGTAAACATGCGTAGTGGCAGTTGTTCATTATTACATATAAATAAAACTAAGTACATTAGTTACATTTATGTTTATTATTTTGACCTTGTATTGCTATTAGTATTTTCACATCAAACTATTTTGGCTTTGAATTTCAGTTCAAAAATTATCTCTAGGAGCAGTCTTGCATTTGATTATTTAGCATCAGTATGTTACCTAAAGTAAAAGCTCACTATTTCACTAATGTTTTTAAAGCAACTATTAACATCTCTTTGTTTAAAGTTGTATTCATGGATATAGTAATAACATGTGACTGTGGTGGTATTATGTATAAACTCACTACTTTACGTGATCCTATGCTAATGTTTTAAGTTTCTTTTTGTAGTTTAATAATACTTAAAATTTGTTGATGTTCTTTTAGAATATATTTATTATCTTTATCTGAGGAGATAGATTATTGGAGAGAAGCTGTCATTATTATGAGCTGTTAGGATTTTGTTTTAAAAGGATTTTTCAAAAAGACCTCAATATTAACATTATACTTGATGTTATTTAATATAATTTCACTGCATTGTCTCTTGATAGCCATTTTAAAGAATACACTTTTAATTTACTAGATAAGGATTCAATTTGACCTAATTTGATAAATACTGTTTTCTATAAAGGGTTACAGACCTTTTTTCTTCTTAGTTTAATTTCTCACTATATCTAGTTACTGTTTGTTTTTTCTTTTTGTATGTCTGTAATTCGTAATTACTCCCAGCTACATGTTTAGCTGAATAAAGCAGCGACAGCTTGTCTTCTAAAAAAGATAGATTTTAAAATCATATATTTAGAAACCCTTTCATAGTTTCAAGGGCAGTGAACTATATGAACTTATTTATCAAATATTAGTGCCTGCAGGGCTATAAATTGGTAACATGCTTAAATATCACACACAAGATACCGACATACCTTTCTTTCTTGGTCAGGCCATTTATGTGGAGAGGATTATGCTCACTGAAAATACTTTTGGCACGCCATCACTTCAGCAAAAAAGATGCTATCGAACATGCGCACATCCCCCAACAGTCTGCTTCTTGCGATTGCTTTTCACAGTATCCGAAGTGTCCATCTGTCTGCGTGTCTTCCAGTTACCCTTCTTGTTCATAGGAGACCTAGTCTTCTGAGATTTTTCTTTTCTTTCAATTTTTTTCTCTCTTTCCTTAAACAAAAGAGCTGTAGTTGTCCGTTCTATTTGGAGCACTGTTGACTCTTTCCGACAGTTGATGCATTGAAGCTCTTTACATCTGCTGTTTTCCCGGCTGGACAATGCAGTGCTGTGTTCTCTTCTCAGTATCCATATTTCTAGTAATAGCACTGAGCTGCAATGTAAAGCAGCAGAGCTGGGATCTCGTGTTTCAGTTGCATTGGAAAAGAATAGGCTTTACCCCTCTTCCCTCCTTGTTGCCTGGCAGCTGCAGGAAGGATTTTTTTTTTTGAGCAGTTTTAGTGGGGTTTTAGTCCGTAATATGAAATCTGCGGCTCTTCGGCTGCTGCACAGGCAGGCAGCAGTTTAAATGTGGGCTTGACAGATGCTCGCTCTGACAGAGCAGAATTCAACGTCACTGCTTGGCTGAGTCCCACGTGATTGTTTGCATTCATTTTGACTAAAAACCTAAGGTAGGGAAAAGCTTAGACATTTTGCTTCTATGCTGTAAGTTATTACATTCAGTACAAATATAATGATGAATGAATAATAGGAACATATGGTTATGAAATGAAGGCTGATGATTTTTACATCTTTTTTTTTTTTAACTCAAGCACAGGCTTTCTAAATATTTTCTGTGTTCGATAGTGACTTTCTTGATTCTTAAACGCTTTTATAGGGTATAAGTCATGTAAGCCTTTATATGTAAGTTGGTTTAAGTTAACTCTTTCAGTGCACTCCTCCTCTTAATGTTTTTTGTCTAAATTGTCCTGATTTTGATAAAATCTAGTTAGTTAAGACTCATACTCTTTTATCTTTTATCTGTAATTTAGACTTTCATTTTTTCTCTTGGCTTCAGTTTATAAATCAGCTGCCTTGGATTGCTTCATTCATATTGCGATACAGTCTAGTTTTTTATTCTGTGTAGTTTTTAGTGTTTTGAAAGCATAAAACTTTATTTTTAATCACCTTTTGTTATTTAAATTTTTTTCATTTAAAAGTTCATGTATCATAGAATTCAAAATGATACAGTAGATCACATATGGACAGACTTTTTGATGATGAGTGAATCCTTACCTGATCTATTATATTCATTTTGACTAAAAATCAAAGGTAAGGAAAAGCTTAGAAATTTTGCCACTTGTATGATGTGTGTGTGTGTGTGTGTGTGTGTGTGTGTGTGTGTATAGTGATGAGCTAGAATCTAGTGCTTCTAATTATATTTACCTATCCTAATATTTTAGGATGTTTAGTAAATTGCCATGAAGCAGATTTTATATACTCTGAAATCTTTCTTTAGTATGATTAGGCACCTGGGCACTTCAGTTGTTTTTTTTTTTTTTTTTTTTTTTTAGAAGAGCATTGGGGTTGGTTGGTGTTTGTTTCTAACAGCCTTAATTATCAGTTTTCCCACTGATATTGCAGGGACAGTAATGCCTAGAAATTGATAGTTTTGGAGTTTATATTGTACATTTTAGATATTCTTCATCTCC